AAGTCAAGTCATGCTCCCTGGCCTACTTCTTGTCATGACTAGTCGCATTACTTGACAGCAGAGGTTGTGATCAGGTGCAATGCTGGACACAGATGTTTTAATCACTATATTATATTTTGAAAGTGGACTATTATTAGATTAATACAATGAAAAGAACACACAAGACCATTCTTCTTGGGTGGGAAGACAACCATTCTTTCTGATGGCAGATTCTAAGAGTCAACGATCAATCACGAAATGGTGTATGAGTACTGCTAACTCCTTGAAAGTGTTTTCTTTGACATGTGCAAACTCAATTAAAGTTTGGAATAAAATAGAGTCAATAGGAACTGTGCATGATTTACTATGAACTTCACGACAGATCCATGTGACAAACCTGAAGTCCTGAACCTAGGTTTTCTGGCGGTTGAGTGTTGACACTTGACAAAGCTGCATAGGGTTTGGAAACTTGGGACTGTTGGCATGCAGTAGCATGGTAGCACAAATTTTACAGCACAGAGTAAGGGCAAATTCCACCTACTTACCCCTTGCTTCAATATTCCTTCTATTGAAAGGGTGAAGCATGGAGGCAGAGACATGGTGCAAATACACCTAGTTTGTTCACGTACTCCTGATCTGGATTTAAACGCAATGGGCAAGTGCTGTCTGTCACCTTGTTTATATACTGGGTCTAGTAGACAGGCAGAGTTAACTAGAAGATAATTTGATTTATCCATTCAGCTATTTTCATTTTTCATATTCCTTTTGGTGTATTGCTTTACTTCCTTCAGTGCTAAAAGTAACAATTGTGCTTCTTGTGCAGGTGGAGATATGGGCTGGTAATAAAATAAATCGAGAAGATCGAACATTTATAGGAAAATGGGATGTACACGACATGATGTTGTCATCTCCACATCTTTCTGGACCCGAAAAAACAAGTAGCATGAGTGAAGAGCCAAGGCACATTAAATTTCACTTCCCAAACCCTATCCGCTGTCGTATTGTTTCAATAAAGATGACACTCAACCATATTGACTCTCATTCAACCAAGTTCAGAGAGGAATTTGATCTTTTGTCATTAAGTGAAGGCACATTTTCTGAATCCAAGCCAACCACTCCACAGAATTCATTTATCCATGCAAAAAGGATTGTTATTTTTGGCAACACTCTGAGAAAGGAGACAAATCCTGACACATCTATGGGAATAATGAGGATGAAGACTTATTTAGATAGATCGCAACCACTGGGCAGATTTAGGGTAAACACGATGATGCTTTTAAACACATTCTGAGCTCTATCTTTGAACTGTGACTTAGTTCTTTTCTTCCTATTTCCCAGATTCCAGTTGAAGCTGAAAGGCTGAGAGATAATGATCTTGTTTTGGAGCAATATCTCTTGCCTAATACACCTGGAATAGCTGGATTTCGCCTTGATTTCTTCAATGTTGTTAGACTGCGGGTGACCCATTCACCTTCCTCGTCAGAGTTGGATATGAAGGAATTTTCATTGATACCTATGGAAGATAGAGTTATAAATCCAGCAATTCTTTATTTACAAGTCACAATTGTTAAGGTAAGAAGCAGTTGCCTGTGTAGTCAAATTTCACTTGCTTTGATGACTATAATTGTTCCTTTTGTGCTTCTCGTGATCTTTATTAGTTTGTTTTTTTAATAGTTCAAATGTTATTACTAAAACATCAAATCACGTCTTAGTATAAATTCTAATGTTAGTGAAGCTATTGGATCATATGCAACAACTTTCATCTGTATGATGTTGGCTGCTTATAGCAATCATTCTTTTGCTACATGATATCACTATAAGGGTTTAAGAGGCCTATGACCAAACCTTTTAGGTCGCTATGGATTTTTTAGTTGCCATCCGTATACTTTTACCTTATTTTTTCACATGCTTGTGGCTTTCTACAGGAGTCTGGAAAGCTGGTTGTTGAGGAATACCGTTTACCAGAAGTAAAAGTGAATACTCCACTCTATTATGATTTTCAAGATTTACAACAAGATGTCCGTTGTGTTCTCTTTAGATTACTTGGGGATGTCACTGCCTTTGTGGATGACATTGCCGAGATTGATGGCTCAAACTTGCGAAATCTTCCTTTGGCCACTGGGTTGTCTTTGTCAAATAAGATCAAGTTGTATTACTATGCTGATACATATGAAATGGGAAAGATTGGAAGTCTCTCAGCAGTATGATATATTGATATGTGAGGTAATGGTCTATGACTTTCTAGGTTACATTCTCTTTCTTTGCATAGGTAAGTTGTCTTTAAGTAAGAGACCACTATGATATTTTGGTTAATTAAAAGAGCATTTTACTAAGAAATTGATTTGCAGTGTATTCTCATGAGCAATTATTTAATGCCATTTCAGAAATCTAGTTTGCCCTATAATAGTTCACATTAATGTTATGTACAAATCTTCTAATTTGCTGAAGTCAGCTGGCTAGAACATGCTAAGTTTTAGAATTTTCTTCTATTGTTAGTTTGCTGATATTTTGCTGGCAACTGAACAATGCCACCATGCTGCAGCCGCTTGAGTTACTTGTATGAGATTCTGGAATAATTAATAGGCTACCAAGAAGTTTGTGGCTAATCCTCTCATACAAATGAATCGTGGAACAGGAGACAGCACTGTTTTTTCACCAAAATTGGATTGTGTTATTGCTTTCTTTATGGAAAGGGGCAAATCATCATTAATTCTAAATGGAACTTCATTGTTAGTTACAATAAAAAAAGGATGTATTTACTAGGTAAGTTCAACTATGGAACATGCATAATGTTCTTACTTACTTTGCTTTACCTTATTATAGGTTGTATCTGCCATGATGGAATATTGAACTGATCATACCTGGTGGTAGTCAGATTGATGATGTTGTAAACTATTGGTTTTACCCGGACATGCAGTGAATACAGATGCAGCCGCTGTGGTGACAAGCTGACAGCGGCCACGATGCTGCAAGAAATACAGTTGCTTTCATGATGTTTCGTTGTTTTCTACTTTGATCTTCCAGTGATCTGATTCAAGGAATCTGGGAATTTGCTGAATTTCTGGAAATTCATTTTTTTTGGTATAGAATGTCTAGAAATTCAACTTATTGTAGGTTTTTCTGCCACGAGAGATTGATTTCGCTTTTCAGTGTTGCAAGTTACACTTAAATACATGTATGAAGTCTTTATGTCTGTATAGGTGTAGGAACCAAATTTGTATGAGTTATTTTTTGGGTAAATATTTTGGGAAAGGAGTATTTACCAAATTACTAGACCAGCTATGCCAAACCCAATTCTTTCCATTTTATTCACTGGATTATAATGGTGAATTATTTGCTCCATGCTTTTGAAAATATGATTTTTCAAAAAACTTTGTACTGCATATATTAGACCACTTGTTCTAAGTTATCTAATTTATTCTATAATCAACTGGATAATCCACGGTAATAAGCCATGAATGATTTGTTTCAAATGCTACCTCGGCACTGAAATGCTGCTCACACAGTAGTTGAGTTTAGCGGGCATTTCATGTGAATGGGATTTGATGCGTGAAATTTTGTAGGGTAGCATTTCAGCTGCAAACGATGGAGTTTACCTGTTAAAGAATATCTATACGGTTCTTTCTTAATTATGAACCATTACATGTTAGCATAAATTTACTAGGAGCTTATGGTTTCAAGTCAAATCTTGAATTTAATTAGTAGAGCGCTACTGCGGATGAATTTTAATCAAGCTTCTATTTATGTTTGCCCTAGATCGTGTAACAAGGTGGCAGATTGTTTGGCCTCCTATGGTAGGTATGGTGTTTTTACCGCGGCCTCTGGGCTCTGGCTCCCCCTGTTTCTGGAGCCAAGCCCCGGCTTTTGTAACTGAATTTGTCTCCGGTGACTTAATTGTAACTGAATTTGTCTCCGGTGACTTAATAATCTTTGAAGTTTCCAAAAAAAAAAAGAGTCAAATCTTGAATGGTTCTCTTATGTACCTTAAGATCAAGGTTGATAGCCAACTTGTGAGAGAATCTCAAAGTTTGGGTTTATAGGCATTTGAGTTTCTAGGCTTCTAGCTTATAGTTTGTTTTCTAAATTTTATAGCTATTGATTCTAGTTCATTTTCTGAATTTTGTAGCTATAGATTCTTAGAACCTAGGTAGTTGAGTATTTGGACTGTTTGGTAGTTGAAGGATCTGGTAGAAACTTTAGCTGTTATAATAGGCCTATAGCAGTGATCTCCCAATCATGTAGAATGCACTGTGATAACCATAATTATTTAGTGCTCTCCTGATGTCGTTAGATCGGTATTAGGTATATCTCGAGCGAGGGTGCTAAGTATTTCAATTGGGGATGTTTGGATCATGAGATAGGCTGGAGCATTACTTTATGTGGTTCAAATTAGTTTTTGGTTATTCACATCTCATCTCCTTGGAGACTCTAGGCCGAAGGATACCAAATGATGTTATACCATCATAACAGCACAATCTTGATCATCTTTTTCTTCCACCATTTTCAGAAGCATTAACACTAGATCCTCCCTGTTTGGAACACAGGAAGTCTTACATTTGCCTTGTGAAACTGTTTTGAGGTTCTTGTGATAAATCTTTTTAAAATTCATGCATTCTACCAGTCCGCGACAACAATCCTACATGCATGTAGTTACACACCTGAACAGGTGGTAGTAATTAACAAATAAATAAGCATAATTTGTACCAATGACAACATACACAACTGTAAAAGGAGAGTTTTTGTTGGTGACAACATAGCACCCATATATTAATACATATGGCCATATATAAAGTTGCACAAGCAATGAGATGAAACAAGCATAGTTTTATTTGTGACTATCACACTAATACTGTCATACATGTGGATTTACCTCAATATAGGCGATTACATTAATAGACATGGATAGGTTCAGATTATTGACGACGGCACAACACTCACACATACAATTCTCTACTCACCCGACAATCACTTTCATATATAGTGCTGGATCTGATTGGATATTTGGGTGGAGTGATGTGTGCTCAAATGCCAATCTTCTTGGTCTTCTTCTTCCTAGAGACCATACGTGTTGGTGGCCTCTTTATCTCACAGTCAAATACACAACTGTAGTATGGTGGTATGTGAGATCTCCACGCAAGAACCTTGAATTGCCCTAGAGGCGTAGCGGTTCCAAACATGATATCTTGCACCGTTATCTGCGAAGCTGCACTAGGACTAGAGGCCGTAATCAGGCCAGAGTAATTGTGAGCCTCGTTACAGTTTCTCTGATAGTTATTGAGAATTGCAACCGGATCCAAATTTTTATTTGCCCTAGGGATATACAGTGACGCCATCACTGCCCAGGGATCAAGTGGATTTGTGCTGTTATAAATACTTAGGTTTTTCTGCTTGAATCCTCAGATGGTTGCAAGAACAAAGCTCCAAAAACAAGTGATGGTGTTCGATCTCAGTGGGCCATTGAACATGTTTACACTTGTGAAACATCCACTCACCTCGCTGGCCATGTCCATCACCAATGATGCCAGCTTGGGGTTCTCTGTGGGGTCTGAGCTTCCAAATGCACGCACTCTGAATAAGTACAAGAACGCCTCATGAGTCAGGAACTAACTTATGTGGCTGCGTGGTTCCGAAGCTCGCAATCTTGTCAGATCGGCTTGTGATTATGATCTTACTTCCATATGCGAAGCAACTCTTCGAAGCCGAGTAGAATCTTTCCCATAAACCCTGGTCGATCTCACCGTCTAGTTCAACAACAACTAGCCTCCTTTTTGATCCACCCAGGGCATCATCGGTCTGGTGCTTGGTTGTACCACAATCTTTGAGAGTCACTATGTTTCCATGTGTAAGACCATCTTTGCTGAAGAACACAATTTGCGAGAAGTGGCTGCGCACTCGCTCGTCGATGCAGGCATGCTCGACAAGGGTGCTCTTGCCCACTTTTCCTGGGCCGATGATGGGCAGGACGCCCAGATGGTCAGCGCCATAGGTGATCTCTCCATGCAACAGGAAGTTGATAACACATTCCATCTCCATCTGCCGACCAAACATGCACTTGTCCAGAAGCAAGTACATGCTGTGCGGCTGACGGGAGAGACAAGGGTATGTGCTCGATAATTTTATGAACTCATTGGCATCTCCAATGATAGTTTCTAGGCTTACAACAACCTTGAGCTCCTTCACCCTCTCATCACTATCACTGCGGAAGCAAACACGTTTGGCATGATTGAATTTAGACAAGATGAAGGAGTAACTCACTCCATGATCTTTCTCCTTCTTAACATCATGGGCTCTGAACCTAAAGGTGTCCAACGTGTAGTAGCCTCTGTACATTTCCTTTCTCAGTATGTTGAGCTGATGCAACATATCTTGGTTCGTGACGTGCCGCTCTTCTGCATCTTCAATAATGATACGGACTCGTAGTAGTAGCCATTGCAGGTTGTCCAATCTCTCCTCTTCTGTTGTTGTTGTCACACTTTCTGAGTATTTTTGATAAGGAAAGATATGGTTCTGCTAGCAAATTCACCCATAATAGCAGAAACAATCACTTCCATTCTTTTGGACAAAGGAAGATTCTCTGCTCTACTTACAAGAAGGCACTGAAATACAATGTTAACTAGGACATGTATTTATAGCTGAGAGGCCCACACAAAATAAAAACTTAGACAATGTGTATTAGAGTGCATAGGATAATATTATTGTTAGAGATAGATTATGATAATTCGATATGACTTGGTCCTTCGTTACCTTTATTGATTTGGTTTAATATGCAAATTATCATATACTCTACATATATACTTGTCCACAAGGCTCAGTACAATGTATTCATAACAATCTATGGCTCCCCTATTCCATTCTTTTTTTTGCATGGTATCAGAGCTCTAGGTATAGAAATTTGGAACATTCCTAAAACTGATGGTTGCCATCTGATATGTGACAGAAGAGATTGTTAGGTTTAAGATTACATTGCAAATTGTGCTCCCTATAATGTATGCCATTTTTAAGTAATCTGTAATTCTAGGTATTTGTCATGTAAACATATAGTTAGAAAACCATGTAATATGAGTTAGTAAAATATCTTTGAATTTGAGTTGTTTTGTTGCAAGGTATTAAGAACATGGTAGAAGTATTGCACAGAAAGAATATGAGAAAGCAACGCAACATAAATTTATGAATGGAGGGCACATAGCTGTAAGAACTGCAATATCTATATTGTTGACATATGTTACGTTCACAAGGAAATATTGTTAATGATATGGATCCACACAAAAATAATTTACAAATATTTTTTATTTTCCTCCCCACTAGCACCACAGTTCTAAATGTTTATAACTTTGGATGGTATTTAAGTATATCTGAATAATTTGGTAGTAAAACATTTCTTAGGATATTTCGATGTCATGGAATCAATTTTGCCTAGACAAAAGTTTTCACAATTTCATTTGCACATGTGGATACGACGGTCTTACGTACTTGTTTTGAAAAAAAAAAAGCTAGTGGCAACGACCCGTGCTCTTGTAGGGCTTTTCTCTTCACTACCTAATGCTTGTAATGTGGTTATATTTAATCCAGGATTGGATCAGCAAGGTGGCATTTCTACCCAGAGTCAAGCTACAAATCAAGCTTACTATGTCCATATGGTTCTAGCTTACTATGTACAAATAAGCTTAAGCCATGTTTAGATCCTACCAAAAAATTTTCACCCTATTACATCAAACGTTTGAACACCTGTATTTTTTTATCAAATATAGGCTTAAAAAATAACTAATTGCACATATTTGCGACTAATTTGCGAGACAAATCTTTTAAGCCTAATTGATCCATGATTTGACAATGTGGTGCTACAGTAAATATTTGCTAATGATAGATTAATTAGGCTTAATAAATTCATCTCGCAGTTTACTAACGGATTCTGTAATTAGTTTTTTTATTAATACCCGAACACCCTATACGATAGTATATATAATACCCGATGTGGCACGCCAAAACTTTACACCCCTGGATCTAAACACCACCTTCATATGTGAGCCCTTGAACTTTTTCCTTCAAGCCGAACACTCCCTTTACAAAATCTTCCAGCCTTTCACTGTTTCACACTCATCTTCGGAACTTCGGCTTCACTCTGTGACAATGGATCATGTTCTGAATAGAACCTGCCTGATAATCGTCAATAATCACAGGGTATTCGGATGAAATTTTGTGTAGGCTCGTGACATGTTGGAGATTCAGCCGCCTGCCAAATAAGGATCGTCAAAATGTAGTTTAATTAAGAGCAAATTGGAAATATGAATTTACTGTTTCAGCCTATCCTGGTTTGGTCCATCAGCTACACAACTAGATGGCCACAAGTTTCCGCTCACCTGCTGCCAACTGCGACCAGCTGACGCAACAAATTTCTAATTGGCGATCTTATCAATAAGCCAAAGCAGATACATCCCGGTACATGGTGCCAATAATAATATCTCATTTTTCATTGAAGTCCTATGTTTTGATTGAACAAGAATTATTAAAGGTGACCAAATTCATTTTCTCAAGTTAATATTAATTTAGAAAAGAATGTGTTACTACCTAATAAAAATACGTGTTTTTATGTTAGCAGGGTAAAAAGCGACTAAATTAGATGTCACTGTAGCCTAGAGGAGCCGGCATCCGGCATGTCATTGTTTTTGAAGGAGTTGCTGATACAAGCCAAAGCAAGCGTTGTTCATGTGCTCAGGCAGCCAAAGCAGCGCCAGCCACAGAATCGGCGTGTTTGGTTCAAGGAAAAATCTGTAGTGAGTTAAAACCGAGATGCAGTAAATGTCCAGCTCGTTTGGTCTAGTCAACACACAGCTGGAGTTTTTCATGTACATGCACGCTAATAAACTACTCCCTCCATCTATTTTTATTTTTGATAGTCATATTTTCAAATCTAAAAAAATTATTTTTGATAGACATATTTCAATCCAACAACCTATCATCTTAATGACTTTCTCAGATTTAATGCGTGGCTCTCCATTCTTCCACACAAGATTGGCTAAATGGGTATCGAGAAATATAAATATTAATGAATCACTTGTTTACGAGGAATGACTAGTAGCATGTTTAAATAGATGATAAGTAGAATTACGTATCCTTGGCCTGTGTGTCAAGATGAAATATGACTATCAAAAGTAGATGGAGGAGTAGGACATTATTTATTTTGAAATTTTAATCACTCATCTTTTTTCTAAAAAAATATAATTACTAAAAAAATGAGCGAGTCATGTCCATGTTTTAGGATAGTTAAATTAATATATTATACCCACCTCCAGGCCAGGCTTAATTTGCGTTTCAAGTTCCCGTGAATGAAAAGAGAAGAGAGTGAAGCATCAGCATTCCGGCTTACCCAATATCCGTGTGCATTGCTAGGGTGGCCATCACCATCGTGCGGCAGCCACCACCACCACACACTCATTGTCGTCTCCGCCATGTGCCTCCCTCTCTATGTCCACAACCCCTGATGCATCGACATCGTTCCTCAGCCGTGTGCTTCGGGTTAGTGGATGCATGCGGCAGCCACTTCTCTGCCCATCACCGATGAGGCACGAGAACTATTGCTGGATACCTATGCACCAGACCTAGTACTAGGGTGGATCTGATGCCCACAAGCACCATACCACCCATAGATACTAGACCTGATATCTGTAACTGATAGATATAGTTAGTAGAATGATATATGTGGGTATCAATTTTGATGCCCAATATTAGGTATGCTACCTTGTACTAGCCACACGGCTTAGCTGCTCCACCTCACCATCGACCTCGCCGCCTCACCGGAGCCTTACTTTGTTGACCGATCAGGGACACGTTGCCATGCCTAAGCTGCCCAGCCATGCTTGAGCTTCATAGCACTGGCGGCGTCGTATAGAAGAAGGGAACGAGAATGAGAGAAGAGAGAGAGAGAAGGTCATATGTGTGGTATAGATAAGAGGAAGCGTAGACACATCTGTGTGTGGGGAAAATAAGGTGGTGAGAGCATTCGCATTAAGGATCCCGTGCCCTGGACGACACTCTGTTAGTTAGTTTTCTTAATAAAAAATTGATACCAACGTCTAAATGAACTTTGATTCATCGTAATCTATCATTTATCAATAATCAATGATCAAAGTTAAAACAATGATAATATAACTATCTAAAAACATAGAAAGTACTTAATTAACCAGAAAAGCAATATCTTTAGTAGGACCTTCAATTGAGTTTCAATCAAGATTGTATCTCATTTCACTCTACACCGGGTTTACTATAAACTTTCACTTTACACATTGCACTAGGTTGGGTCATATAGTTTCATGGAATTTCTATAGTTTAATGATGTATCTTCGTATTAAGTAATACTTTCAATGCACCTAGGTGTAAAGTGGAGTATGTGCTTTTTATATACATGTATGAATGTATTGGTATATAGATTTAACTACAAATTTATCAAGATTAAACCCAAGGGCTATCTTTCTTCAGTTCCATCCAGTATTATTCTTCTTACATTTGCGAAGTTGTTTGGATTGTGTCATAGTCAATATGTTTGTGTAATTATTTTATTGATAGATCGATCTAATGGTTATAATCGAGCTCGGTTTTAAGGATCGATCTAATAGTTATTTTCAAGCTCGGTTTTGCAAAAAAAGAATTGTGGCGCCACATGTTTTTTTTTCTTTATTTCAGCCGCTCTAAGTGATTGTTATGTACCCCTCTATCCCATAAAAAATAAATCTAGAATTGGATGTAACATATTCTAGTATAATGAATTATTTGTAATTGGTTACGTCATATCCAATCCTAGCAAGGGCGGACCTAGTATGGGACATGGGGGTATAGTTGTTCCCCCATTTTTTCTTTTTAGCAAAGTTTTTTTTTGGATGGAGGGAGTATATGTATATGTTTGTTATGCATACGCATATGTATGTTTGTAACTTTGTAAAAGTTTCAAACATTTGATAATAAAAAAATGTGGGGGAGCCACTCCCTTTCTCGTTATTGATAGATCGGTCTCTATATCACCTTTCTGGGTTCCTCAGTTTCAGTGAGAGCAGTTACAATAGCGAGCTATATGAGCTACTACATTAGATTTACGCTGATATTCTGAGTTGGAGAGAGAATATGAGAGGGGAACGAAACAGGCTACAAGTCAATAACTTGCTTCAACATGAACTCTAAGAAGATTTATACAAGAAATAAAAAGAAAATAATATTAATGATGTACTCCCTCCATCTACTTTTGATAGTCATATTTCCAAATCTGAAAAATTTATTTTTGATTGGCATATTTCAATCCAACAACTTATCATCTTAATGGCTTTCTTGGATTTAATGCGTGACTCTTCATTCTTACACACAAGATTGGCTACATGGGCATCGAGAAATATAAATATTAATGAATCATTTGTTTACGAGGAATGACTAGAAGCATATTTAAATGGATGATAAGTAGAATCACTTATCTTTGATCTGTATGCTAAGATGAAATATGACTATCAAAAAAAAATAGATGTAGGGAGTAATATACATACATAGCTCGTTAGTGTATCAGTAGACTGTTATATTGACTTAAATGATAGGGCAATAAATATAACCATATCATCTCTATTATTAGCCTTGCTCTAATATCTACTCTCTTTGTTTCATATTGTAAGTCGATTTGACTTTTTTCCTAGTAAATCTTTTAATTTGACAAAGTTTATAGAAAAATATAGCAGTATTTTCGACACCAAATAAACATATATTACCAAAATATATTAAATGTTTGTTTTAGTAAATTAATTAATTTGATATCCTAGATGTTGCTATTTTTTTAAAACTTATTCAAACATAAAAAGGTGATCGGAGTATATACAAAAGAAATAAATACAAAAGAAATAAAACTTCACAAAATTAGCTAAACAAAAAGCAATTTGCCGGTGGGCTATCCTTACAAACAAGCTGGACCTTTTATTTCGGAGTCCAGATGAGTTAAATGAGAGGGTAACAATCAACGCTCATCGCTCATCTATTTCTTTGTAGTACAACGCAGGCGCTCACAAGTCACGTCCACTCATCCCTGTAAACATATACACACACCTTACTGGTAAGTACCTTTAATTGATTGGGCCCGTATACCTTGAGGTTGACGAAGTAACTGTGACCATCTCGCTATTGACAGGTATACTATTATTAAAACAATAATTAATCGTAAATACGAGCACCCATCGCTTTCGATAGGTACATCATCTATCACTAAAAAAATAATTATCCGTAAATAAGAGTATTGTGTCTTCTAGAACTTAAACCGAATAAATTGGTTCCACCGCTGAAAACCTAATCAGTTGGGCTAGCTACGGTCGCTTCACCAACAGTCATCTATTATTGTAACAGATAATAATTTAGTCTTTGCTTCAAATATGCTAGCACCTACTCCTTGCAGTTAATAATCGTATTTCTATTAGTGAGCTAGGACGGCTCTCTTCCTCCCTTCACAATCAATAACAACCAATCTCGTACTCCCTCCGCTTCATATTATAAGTTGTTTGATTTTTTTCCTAATTAAACTTTTTTTAAGTTTTATCAAATATATAGAAAAATTTAGCAATATCTATAACACCAAATTTGTTCAATTAAAACTAACATTTAATATATTTTAGTAATATGTTTGTTTTGCATTGAAAATATTGCTATATTTTTCTATAACCTTAATCAAACTTAAAAATGTTTGACTAATAAAAAAAGAGCGGTATAAAACGGATGGAGTATATACTTTCTTTGGATGAAAATTATACAGATTTGTGAAATTTTACACGATAGTTAAGCAAGTATGTGGAATTAAATGGAAAATGATTGTAATTAGCGGATAGAATAAAGTATTTAAAGAAATTAAAGCGGAGATCATTGTGATTAGCCTTAACCAATTATAACCATCACGGCAACAATCTTTATAATTGTATCGTGGAGGCAGCAATCATGATGACGTCCACCGTTCCGGCAGCGGCGACGGCGACGGCGAGCCGCCTCATCCTCGTACACGGCGCGGGCCACGGCGGGTGGTGCTGGTACAGGGTCGCCACGATGCTGCGCGCCGCGGGCCACCGCGTCCACGCGCCCGACCTCGCGGCGTCGGGCGCCGACGCGCGCCGGCTGCGCGACGCGCCCACGTTCGCCGACTACTCGCGCCCGCTGCTCGACGCCGTCCGCGCGCTCCCGGGCGGCGAGCGCGCCGTGCTGGTGGGGCACAGCCTCGGCGGCATGAGCGTTGCGCTCGCCGCGGAGGAGCTCCCGGAGAGGGTCGCCGCCGCCGTGTTCGTCGCCGCGTTCATGCCCGACTGCGCCAGCCCGCGCCCCAGCGTCATCGACAAGGTATGCAAAGAGCTTCTCGCTCGGTGTCATGCTCGAGCTGACGCCATTCTTGTTGTTCTTTCCGGTGAAATTAAAGCTTCCATGGCTGGACTGGATGGACAGCGTGAGGGACGAGGAGCACGCTCCGCCGTCGGTGAAGCTCGGGCCGGAGCTGATGCGGCGGAAGTTCTACCAGCTGAGCCCGGAGGAGGACTTCACGCTGGCGCAGAGCCTGGTCCGGATGGGCTCCAGCTACGTGGACGACATGCGCCGCCGGCCGCCGTTCAGCGAGGCCCGCTACGGCGCGGCGCGCAAGGTGTACGTGGTGTGCGGGGAGGACCTGGCCATCGTGGAGGCCTACCAGCGGCGGATGATCGCCGACTGCCCGGTGGAGGAGGTGAGGGAGATCGCCGGCGCCGACCACATGGCCATGTTCTCCGCGCCAGCGGCGCTCGCCGGACACCTTGCCGACGTCGCCAACACCTACGCCTGATTTTTGGTTTTTGTTTTCTTTTTTGGCTGCCATGCTTCTTAGCCTTGAACTAATAAGGGGATTATGTAGTATAATCTTGTGCTATGTTTGAATTATGAAATTCACTTGCTTGTTTTTGTAAACACTACTACACTGTACGAGACCCCATAATTTTTACAAACGGAACATAGCTAGTGGTGTCTTCAAAAATTGAGCGGCATTTTCACATACAGCTCCTCAAGATGCCCGTATGGAAAAATCGATTTTCCCATATGGGCCTCTTAAGAGGTCCGCATTCCGCATGCAAAAATGACATCATTTTTGCATGTGGCTCACTTAAACGCCCGCATGGAAAAATTGGTTTTTTTTCATACGGGTGTCTTAAGGAGCCGTATGTGAAAATAAAATTTGAAAAATTTGAAACTAGTTTATCTCACTCATATGAACTTTAAATTGGATGATTTGTTTCCTAAATGTTTCTAAAATCATGTTTTATCATGTTATTGTGTTCTTACTGCTAATATTTTTGGGCTTTTTTTCTTGTGACTTTGTTTTATCAATTAAAAATTTGAATTTCAAAACTTCAAATAATATTTTGAAGTAGTAAATGATTTCTGCTGAAAAAGTCATTAACAACAAAGTTGTATAACTCATCAAGATCTATAACTTCTATTTTGGTCATTTCTTCATCCGACAAAGTGATAGTAGCATTTTCACAAAATTTACATTTCTCTCTTATAGTTTATAAAACTATATAAGAGATATGTACATTTTGTGAACAATATTACAAATCACTTTGTCGGATGAAGAAATGACCAAAATAAAAGTTATAGATCATGATGAGTTATACAACTTTGTTGTTGATGACTTTTTTAGTTGAAATCATTTAATATTTCAAAATGTTGTTTAAAATTGTCATATTTTAAAATTCAAATTCAAACTGTTCATACAAAGTCATATAGAAAAATGACCAAAACAAAAGTTGTAGATCTTGATGAGTTATACAACTTTGTTGTTGATGACTTTTCCATTTAAAATTATTTAATACCTGAAAAATTATTTAAATTTATTATATTTTAAAATTTAAATTTTATATAGTTAACTCGGATAGAGAAATGATAAAAAAATGGTAGTATCTCAATAAGTATATATACCGTCGGACAAGCTCCCCGTCGCAGGCGGCGGTGGGCATGTCATCGCTGCTTCTTGCAGGGTTTTCATGGGTACGGCGTGCCCCATCCCCCATGTGAGTCGTCAGTTTGTTTGGACGGTGGATGGGTGCTGAAGGCACGCTCATGCAGTCACCCAAGGCAGACGATCCTGATCCACCTCGGCACTACTAGCACGCATTGCGTGGGTCATTTCCGTTGTTCAATATTTCCTCCAATCATATTATAAGTCACTTTGATTTTTTTTTAAGTTAAACATACGCACACAAATGCACAGATAATGCCGGTTCTTTTATAACATCCACCATATAACAAATAGATGCACACGTATAACAGATGATCCACTGGAGTAAAAAAAGCGTGCATCATCACTTCCAATTTACCAACTCATGTTATAAGAGTAGAAACCATATAAATCAACCGGCATATAGAAAATAACTTCCGCAAATCACTGCCAACGTATAATGAATGTTTAGGACACCAAGGAACATCAACAGCAGTCACTAACTTTGCTCCTAAGTTGCTTGATTACATTAACACACAAAAAGGGATCATTTGATTTATATATTCTGAATGTGAACGTTACTTGAACCACCAAACACTTCCATGTAGACTCATGCTCAACCAATTACATATATCATGAGAAAATTGGGAGATGCAGCACAGGGCTAAGCAGACATTCCACAAATATGTTTCAGTGTAGGAGCACTATACATGTTGAAAATAAAGGGGTGAGGAGTACACAAAACTCTCGCCTCTCGCTGCATCAAAGCAGGTCCTGTGAAGACATCAAACTTGCTCATGGGTGGACGCCTGCCTGGGAAACAGAAGTCAACCATACCTTTCTCAGTGGCCCACTGTGGTCTTAGTCTGCAGCCAGCCATAAAACCATGTCATTGTCCAATACTTCACCGCAATGAAAGCCGCCATGGACACAGCCAAGTAATAAGTTCTGAATGCCATCTTCAGCATCACTTCAGCAGGTAGCGTGACAAGTGTCTTATTGGAGAAATCGTGGAAACCCAGCATTCAGCACTCCGTGAAAGACAACGCCACCATTCCTAAAATACATATGCTAACCAGCGGTGAACATTCTAAGTGGCCTTATATGTCCTTCACAGTTTATTCAGCTCTCAAATTCAAAATTTCCTTGGCAGTCCTCTTCCGAAAGTAATGCATATGTTTCTATGAAAGACAACCAATTTCAAAACCAGTTAATTTCACTTGAAAAAAAAATCATAAATTCCATTTTAACTTCTTCCAAGTAGAGCATATAAATTGGCAGGAAGCGCAAGATCCAATTTGGTACCTGTCCAAAAGTAAGGCCCATATCTCTGCTGTAGAAATCTATGTATTTGAGCATGAACATGCCACAATCCCACCTAAATGGAAGGCAACCAAGTAATGAGTACATTACGCAAATTTTCGAAGGCATAGTAATGCGATATGCCTGTGGTGAACTATATAATGTTCTTAGAATTGCACCTCCTTTAAAGGAAAAAACAAGTTCTACTATTGTATAATGTTGGTTAGCAAGACTGATACACATACTAGAAAAAAAAATTGAGAAAAATACCCATTCTCTTGCAAAGGAAGGTTTTTTACACCCTCCTGCTTCCATGAAAGAGCATCAATATGTTGGCCACTCTTATCTTTCACCTCATCTACAAGATACCTTGCCTGGTTAAGTGGGAAAAAATAATTTAGGATCACATGGCACTACAATGTTCAAGAATCTCCAGCAAATGCATGTAAAACGTGAACTGAATAGATCCTGGATTCTAGAATGAAGAAATGTATTATAATACAATTGGATTTTGTGATGTTTTCCTCAAAATTAAATTCTAAACTTCTATAGTTCTATGTTTACATGGTCTTTCCGTGACCCATACCATCACTTCAGTAGAAATTAAGAAAGGAATTTCAAAAGCCATCAGATTTTCTCATGTATAGACACAAACCAAGCAACTAATCAGACAGTCAGATTATACTACTTACTAAAGTTCTCAATGCCTTCATGTCCATGCTGCCAAGTGAATCCAGAAATTGAAACTTTTTGTCCCTTATGTTTATGACTGCTAAACACCAATGCACTTCCTTGTGTATAGGAACAAAGATCTGGACAGAAATAACTGGTTCAGTCAGATAATAGTAAAATCCCAGGAGAATTCAGCTTGAAAAGAGAAAGAAAATAGCATTTTACCTTATCACATTCAAGTAGGCTGTAACCTAACTTCCTTTTAGTTGTCCATCTTCTGACAGACTTATAATCATACCCACCAGTAATGAGCTGATCACAGGGGAAAAATACATGGCTAGTTAGTTTGTATCTGTTGAGTTTTGTTAGAACATATATCATACGAGTTAGGATTAGTGGAATACTCAACTCAAATATAATATTGATCAGCATCATTAGTTCCTAACTAACTTTGCCAATAAAGGCTGTGCAAACAGTTGATACCATGAATATAGAAATAGAAACATACTAGTTGAATAGCATGCACAAGTGCAACTTTCTTGTAAAGATATAAAAAAGGAATAAACAAACAAAAACAAACTCAGCAAAATAAGAAATTTTTTGTCTAGTCCTTGGAAACATGGCACAAGCAAAACCTTCATAACTCTCTCTACACTAATCATGTTAAGGTAAAGCAATATCAAAATGGTACTACCTCCGTTTCAGGTTATAAGACTTTCTAGCATTGCCACATTCATATAGATGTTGAATCTAGGCACACAGATATGTCTAGATTCATTAACATATATATGAATGTGGGCAATGCTAAAAAGTCTTCTAATATGAAACGGAGGAAGTATCAGGGAAACTGAATTATAGAAACAGAAGCTGACCTTTTTGTAGAAAAAGGTATTGAAGAAGTGGCATTTCAAAAACTTGTTAGGTTCTCTCAGTTCCCTCTCTTTCAGCAGCTCAAGATACAAATTTATGACCTGAAAATGTCAAGGAGCTCATGTCAAATCCCATATGCTCACCTTTTGAGTTCAAACAGAAGAAAACAGCACAAGCAATAAAATACCTCATCATTTAGCCACTCCGTTTCGTTCAAGCACTGCAAGGTCTCTCTTGTTATGACAATATTTGATGATTCATGTACCACTAGCCTTTCACGTCTGGAAAAAAAAAGATGCCGCGAATTAAGCGACATATTTGCTCAAGAAATGTTCTACTGTTTACTGTTTATGAAGAGAAGACAAGGAACCAAACCTGTTACGGCCACCAAGAGCATGATCAACACTATCCTCATCCTCATCCGTAAAAGGAACAAAAGGTTCATCCTGAAACATATGCAAGAAGTGGGACCAGACATTTAAAAACGAGAAATGAAATAGCATACTCTTCAGTAAGATCATGTGCTAATTTCACAAGCTTTGTTTTACTGCAAATGCAATTTTCAATATTTAAAAAACATAAAATTACAGTATTTCTTTTTCACTTTTCAGTATTAATGCAATTGCTAACCTGCAAGTTCATATCCCTAGGTATATCAACAAAATGCTTGGATCATAATTAGTTTACTGTCCTTTTGGAAGGCCATAAATTATGGGAAGTAAAAAAATAGTACCAAAATTTTCTACCCCTTTGTATAAAAGACTCGATTGACACATATCCAGGAATGGACTCATCATTTTCTTTCTCAACCAAATAGGACACATGGAATTTCTAACTTCAATTTTCTTTCTTCACGATCTTTCTAGTCTTCATGATATTTCTAGTAAGATTAAGCAACTGAAAAGCCACATGCCATGGCAACGAGCAAGTTGGCACTATGCTACAAGATTGTGTTAACCTATGACACACTAAAAGTATCACGCTATAACTGAAGTGTACTAGCGTTATGAACAAGTTAATAATGTTATCCATGTTGGTGACGGAAACAAACAAAAGTTCCCTTTTATCGTCATCATTGTTTTCTAAAAATGCCTCTCTCCTCTACCCATTTCATTGTTGCAATAAGTACACTATGGTTCATAAAATAAAATATGCTGCAGTATATTATGGGCATGCCAGGGTATATATATTATGGCTAAGTAATAGCTATTTTGTATAGACAACCCATACATTTCCGCAAAATTGTAGCATTTATGTTCGATTAAAGCGAGCGCTTAACAAATTCATAAACTATCTATCAGAAGATAAGCAACAGAAGTTGCAAAATGGAGTTACCTCCTTCCGGGGCCCGAACCGTGGGAGGACATCGGCGAGCTGCTCAAGGCCGAGGCGGCCCTTCTCTGCGAGGCGCACCTCGAACTCGAGTGTCCTGAGCTTGGCGTCCCGTCGCCGGCTGGAAGCCTCATAGAGCTCCTTGTAGAGGGGGACCCTCCTCACAACAACGCTACCCTTCACCTCCTCCTCCTCCTCTTCTCGCGCTTCCTCGTCATCTTTCCTCTCCTCCGCATCGTCGACAGCGATCACCTCCACCCTCGACGGCGCATCGGCGGTGGAAGGAGAAGGCGGCAGCGGCGGCGGGTGGGCGACGCTGTCGACGAGCTCGACATACTGCTCGAGGCCGAGAGACCGCGGATGCTGCGGCGACGAAGGGGACGGGGTGAAGCACGACGGATTGGAGCGGGAGAGCGCGGAACCGAGGCGGAACGCGCGGAGGACGCGTTGGGGCCCGTGGATTGGGCGCGGGTGCGGCGGCGGCGGAGGCAGGCGGCGGAGGCGGCTGGGGGGCAAGGAGGAAGCGTACGAGGTGGAGGCACCTCCGGCGCCGGCGGCGGCGGCGGCGGAGTACGAGGAGGAGGGGCCCTGCGCGGCGGCGGAGGAGGAGGAGGGATGAGGGGGCGGCGGAGAGGGAGGCGGAGAGGAGGCGTCGGCGAGGGATGAGGAGGAGGGGAGGGGCGCGAGCTTGGGCTTCTTGGAGGGAGGCGGCGGGGAGGGAGGGAAGGAGGGGAGGAGGCGGTGGTCGGCGGAGAGGCGCTTGCGGCTGTCGGTGAGCGCGCCCATCGCCGCCGGCGGAAACCCTAGCTTCGCTTTTCGTCGATTGGCCTCAGATCGAGCGGAGGGCGGGGCGGCGTCTCGGGGAAATGGAGGTATGGCCCATGGGCCCGCTCGGTCATTTTCTCCGTCTTTTTCCTTTTTTTTTTTACTTTTTATCGCGTGCAGTTGTGAACTGGTAGGCTCACTGCCCGGAAGGAGGCGTTTCTCTCTTCTTCTTTTTTAAATTTCTTTTTCAGAGGAGCAAAGGAGCAACCGATTTTCATGAAAGTATTCAATTGTGAGTGTGCGTTGGTGTAAGCTTTTAAATGTTATTGTAGCACAATTGCTATGTAATTATGTTATATCTACATTGTAACTTTCTTATGCTCTCTTTCCGATATAAGGTGTAACTGGTTTAGACGCAAAGATTAAGAAATTGTAATTTGGTTTAGAGTCGGTGAAATTATTGATCCCATGATAGTTGATTTAGTAACGCTGCCCTCGTTGATTCTAGCGTGTCCAATGTTGCGTCGTGAATATCATCCTCATTGGCCATTTTCCGATGTTGTCATTATCGGTGATGTAAGTTTGCACACGGGTGAGATCCACTTGTCAACATGTATCCAATATATGTCTCCCGTCACATGTGCTATGCGCTCGCGACCTTCTTGGTCAACTCCAATAGTCGCCTAGCCCACGTTTGAGCCTCCTTCATCACGAACTCTGTCATCGCCATCGCCAATTGTTGTGGCAAGAGAGAGGGCAAGCGATGGAGCATGCTTCACTAGTCATGGGGCCGAGACCTTGAAACTAACCAAACCAAATTAGAAAAAGTTGATGCCATCAACTGCATGCATATGAGAGGGAGCCAAAGAGGTGTTGCAGTTTATGTTGGAACTTGAAAAGAAAGGAAATTGCATCCTATATTTAGGGATAGAGGGGGTAAGTTGTAAGCTTTTAATTATTATACCATTTGACTGCATCGAGATATGTACGAGAAAGGGGAAAAAATATATGTACAAATTTATCGGATATGTACAATGTAAACAGATGTTGAGTTTGCCACGTCTCTCGTAGGTACTCATAGGGATAAGATATATATTTGTATTTTTTTAGTGTCTTTCAGTGAAAATATGGGTGTACTGAACATTTTCTTATTTAGTGGCTAGCACCAATGCTAACAATTGGGTAAGCCTATGGGAAATTAGAAAAAAAGCGAAAATAAATTTCTTGGAACTACTCAGTGGCGGACGTAGCTTCAAAATATAGATGGGGTGGAGAACAGAGATGTTCACTCGATTGATTAGTCGCTAGCGACACACGCGCGCCAAGAAAAGTGGGCCAGCCTTCTACACGCGAGACGGCGAGAGGAGTGGTAGCGGCCGTACCATGACGACGGTGGCTGGAAAATAGAATAAAATATTATTTGCTTCAAAAGGCCCACAGATGTATTAGAGACTGTCTATTATACATCATGTCTATTATACATCAGGGCTTTTAGCTAGCCTTTGAATGATGTGGAAATAACTAGACTTGCTCTCTTCAGTCAAAAAACTAGACTTGCTCTCACTGCGCACATGCTACAGACACAGACAAAGATGCAGAAATAGATACATCCTTGAATGCGTCAATATGAGGAAAGCTACGAATCGGACGTCAATATCGGCATATCACTGTACGTGTCAATGCGTCAATGCTGTCTGTCTCGGACATCAATATCGGTATATCACTGTACGTGTTAATGCGTCAATATTGTCTCTGTTAATCATCCGCATATCTCTGTACGTGTCCGATTCCCACGCCCCAGAACACGGCCTTTCATCCTCAGCCACATACAAAATCAGTCAAAGCTGAGATGGAGATAGGATAGAATCAAGACTCTTGATTTGCAACGTTGTTCCGTTATAATCGCGAAAATATTTCCTCGAACGTGTAGGTAATACTAGTAATATGTACTTTGCATGGATGGATGTCACCTAGGTAAGAAGAAAGATCACCACGTATCATGCTTTGAGAGAACAAGCTCCGTGTAGCATGCGGAACAGGATCCTCTGACGTAGTGGTTTCTACGTCAGAGGGACATCCAGCTGTTCCCGTATATGCAAATCTAACTGTATAAATCTTCAACGGATTTTTTCTCGTAAACTATTTATCTAACCTAAGATCTGATTTTACGAGTTATTCTAAGTACTACATGTGCGTATATTATAGGTATCCTGACTACAATTTAGTTAGTGTTCTGTAAAACCCACAGGTACTCATTGGGATGGTAGCGTTGTTAAAAAAATCAGACAATAGATATATAGGGAGTGAAACAACATACACGATAGCTTTATTCCATTCTATTCATCCATGCAAAGTTTTATTAACCTTCAAAACGAATTTTATCTTGAATTACTTATCCGATTTACTTTGATTACACCATTATATTCATATTAATTAAATATTTAAAATAAGATCCCACATGATTATACAAGGGCGGATATAGAGTGTAACAAGCGGGGGCCTTGGCCCCACTCAATTTTGCAGCGAGTGGGGGCAAATGCCTCTTGACACTTTTTACTTCCTTAGTCTATCTAAACGGTAGATCCTTAGCCTCCACTCATACTATTTTCTGCCTCCGCCCCTATGATTATATTTCGATAAATTTTTGGAATGGATATTTTTAGTTGCTGCACGTGTTATTATTTCGGTGTTCCAATAAGTGGTTTTATGATGTTTCACTAGTTCATGTAAATGTTGCACGCGATATTTTTAGATGATTCAGTAACTACTTTGCGATGTTTCAAAAATTACAACTCGATGCTGATATAATTTTTTAAACAAGATCAAGTATTTTGCAAATTTGTTTTATGTTTAATATGATCACATGATTATTTAGCTTTTTAAATATATTTCTTTTAAATGTTGCACATGTTTTACTTAAATGTTTCACTAGTTAATTCGTAAATATTACACGTGGTTTTCCTGAAATGTTTCAGCAAGTGTTTTATAATGTTTCAATAATTATAATTATAGTTTAATATTAATATGATATAAATATGACATGTTTTCGCTCTTTCAGACTCAATGTTTCATATAAGCGGTTACCGATGTTGCAGTCGATATTTTTAAATATTACATTTCTTGGAAGTGAAACAGTTTTCTTCAATGGGTGAAACAACGTTCGATTTTTTATTAAAATATAATTATGTGATATCTTGTTATAAAGATTTAATTGTAACAAATATGATAGTGTAATTAGATCTTAAATACAATAAGTAGTTTAGAAGAGAAAAATACTTGAATCTTTATTCAAATTCTTCATGTTTGCGTGCATATGGATATGGGTACCGGCGTACTAGTCTAGTACGTCTCTATGGGAGACTTGTTGATGGGTGCATACGTGCGTGTAGAGGGAGTTAGAGCGTCCACAATGTAGGTTTTAGAGGGGGTATAAGAGGGGAGAGAGAGCTCTCTAGTACTGATCCTATACATTGCAGGTGTTTTTTTCGCAGGTCCATGCATAGCAACCGGCATCATGGATAGCACCCGATTCTTGAGGAGAGAGAATGGTATGGGCCCATTTGTCAGTCCAAAATGAAGAAAGAGAAAGAGACAGGAGACCATGATCACTGGTGAGAACGAAGTAGCAGAGGAGAGAGAAACTAGTTATTTTGTTTTTCTAATCAGTGGGGTCCACAAGGTATCTATACATTGCAGCACATTTACGTAGACGTGATGTGGAATAGTGTTAGGGGGTGTTTAAATGGGACTAAAACTTTTAGTCTCTGTAACATTGGATGTTTGGACGCTAATTTGGAGTATTAAATATATACTAATAATAGAACTAATTGCATAAATGAGAGTTTACTGTATTTAAATGAGTGATCTAGAATAATCCAAGGAAAAAATTTCCAAAGCAATGGGAAAAACTTTCCAAAGAAAATGTTTCCCAGAGCTGAAACGACCAGCGTTTTGGGACATTGTGTGAGCGGTAAAATGACAACCTTTCCGTGACATTGCGTGAGCTGTAAAACGACAACCAGCTTAGAGCATCTGTAGCGTTGGGTTGAATCGATGCGTGAGGCAAAAATATCAAACCTAACACACTGTGAGATGCAGTTGTTATTTGTCAGAGAGGAAATCGACCTCAGCCAAGCAGTCGATTCAGCCATTTAGAAAAATAATTCTTCGTTTGTATGTGTGAGGGAGGAAGGGTTACGGCTGATTCTAGGTGGGCCCGGTTAATCGATGCTAGCATTATAGCACCTGAACCAAAATAAACTTCACTTCCATGGAGGGTTCTCCCCGAACTTTTTTTTGAAAATAGGGAATATATTATACTTAGAAGCAAAGTACATAATTGATAATACAGTTTGGCAAAACAGCTTCTATCGGATGAGCTATGTGGGAAATATTTTGACAGTTCTACACTAAATCTCTATTTGTCATTTTCCTGGCTTCTTTTGCAAGCTTGTCAGCCATCTTATTCATTTCTCTTGGAATCCACCTAACCTGCAAGGAATCAATAGCATTGAAAGTAGCAATTATGGCCGAGTTTAGTTCCAAAATTTTTCTTCAAACTTCTAACTTTTCCATCACATCGTTCCAATTTCAACCAAACCTCCAATTTTGGCGGACAATAGATATATAGGGAGTGAAACAGCATACACGGTAGCTTTATTCTTTTCTATTCATGCATGCAAAGTTTTTATTAACCTTCAAAACGAATTTTATTTCGAATTACTTATCCGATTTACTATTTGATTACACCATTATATTCATATCAATTAAATCTTTAAAATAAGATCCCACATGATTATACAGGGGCGGATCTAGAGTGTAACAAGCGGGGGCCTTGGCCCCACTCAATTTTGCAGCGAGTGGGGGCAAATGCCCCTCGACACTTTTTACTTCCTTAGTCTACCTAAGCGGTAGATCCTCAGCCCCCACTCATGCTATTTTCTGTCTCCGCCCCTGTGATTATATTCCGATAAATTTTTGGAATGGATATTTTTAGTTGCTACACGTGTTATTATTTCGGTGTTCCAATAAGTGGTTTTATGATGTTTCACTAGTTCATGTAAACGTTGCACACGATATTTTTAGATGATTCATGAACTACTTTGCGATGTTTCAAAAATCACAACTCAATGCTGATATAATTTTTTAAACAAGATCAAGTATTTTGCAAATTTATTTAATGTTTAATGTGATCACATGATTATTTAGCTTTTAAAATATATTTCTTTTAAATGTTGCACATGTTTTACTTAAATGTTTCACTAGTTAATTCGTAAATGTTGCACGTGGTTTTCCTGAAATGTTTCAGTAAGGGTTTTATAATGTTTCAATAATTATAATTATAGTTTAATATTAATATGATATAAATATGACATGTTTTCGCTCTTTCAGACTCAATGTTTCATATAAGTGGTTACCGATGTTGCAGTCGATATTTTTAAATATTGCATTTCTTGGAAGTGAAACACTTTTCTTCAATGGGTGAAACAATGTTCGATTTTTTATTAAAATATAATTATGTGATATCTTGTTATAAAGATTTAATTGTAACAAATATGATAGTGTAATTAGACCTTAAATACAATAAGTAGTTTAGAAGAGAAAAATACTTGAATCTTTATTCAAATTCTTCATGTTTGCATACATATGGGTACCGGCGTACTAGTCTAGTAGGTCTCTATGGGAGACTTGTTTGATGAGTGCATACGTGCGTCTAGAGGGAGTGAAGGGCAGCAGCACAGCATACGTCTTACCGGTGTCAGCAAAAGCACAAGTGCATGGCAAAGCAATTTGTTAGGTGTACTCATACTCATGTGCCAAGGGGAATGTGTATGCATGTATGTTTTAAGCTTTAAAATTTTTTTCTCTTAAACTATCCTGATCATTTTTTCGTTCGCTCGTGTTTGCTCTACACAACGCATCCTGCTTTTATTGATGTCGCCACACTCCCCTCTCAGCTAGCAAGCGGTCGTGGAGATCATAGCCTCTTGTGTGCGTATCCATTAATTTCAATACTAGCATGCTAGTACTCAGATGAAAACAGTGCACGAGCGTGTAGAAGGTAAAGAGCCATGTAGCCGTAGAAGGAAAGAAGTTAGCAACAGTCGAAGAGGAAACGTGAAGGCAATATCACACGCGTCATGATTAATGGGAGAATACGCAGATCTAGGTGCCCGGAGAAACGACGATCGCTCGGGCGCTTCATCCACCGTTCAATCCGGGTCACTGAGTGGCGGACGTAGATGAGGCGGAGAACAGAGATGTTCACTCGATAAGAGCAATCGGATACAACATATATCGTATTTATAGTTCAATCGCATAACCGTCTCGATCATTGTTTGCGGCATGCGTATGTTGTGAAGAAACGAACAACTGTTGGGTGTTTAAACATTGTTATACCTAATTTTGATGGCCCATAACTATTATAAGGGGTTAGGGGGTCTTGAGGGTGTGGGGCGACACGAGTTGTAGCTGGGTCGGTCGACCCACCCTGTCCAATGGGTAAATCTGCCCCTGGAACCACTCCTTCATTTACACGACATCCGTTTCATCCATCCACTTGACCATACCAAATCATTCCACCAAAAGAATTGAAAATTTCAAAAGGTTGAATCACATAATAATTATACAAGTGAAGAATTTGTTTCTCGGTGTTTTTCAAGCGAGGACAATATGGTCATTTAAGAAAATCAAAGGCCAACTCATGGTCAAACTAATCAAATGGGGTCAAAGGGTACGTTCTAAGAATACGTGATTTTTCTTATATGAATTTTAGATTATCACGGGCACACTTCTCAAGCTCCAAACCAGTGTGATTATTACAAAATCTTTGTATATAAGTTTCTTAGAATACTTGTGTTATTGTGTATAAATAACTTTCAACTTTGTAAATCCAACTGGTCCTAATACAAAAAACCAGTTGAATGCATGAATGAAACAAAACTCAGGGAAATTGAGTGGAATAATGCATGCAGAGAATTTTCTCGTGAAAATACCTTGCAAATAACTCGCCTTCAAATCTTCAATAGATTTATCAATATGGTTTGGGTGGACATATATATTCAAGACTAACAAGTTACAAGCCTAAACCTTATGATTATTTATGCATCGGTCTAGGGATTTTTTTTTCTCGAACACGGTCTAGGGATTTATGAAGTCTTTACTGCCCTTGACTGAAAATTTTCCACGGTAACAATATATTAATTGAATTAACTTCATCTCATCGTTGTTACACAAAGCATCATAGCTTTCACAGTGCACGCGCTGAACACGTGCTAAACAATACACCGAAACCTGCGTTTTTTTTTTCGTATTTCTTTTCCTGGTGCCTTCTCACGCTACTTACTACTCACAGGCTCACTGCTCATAAAAATTGAAAAGCATCTCACAGTGTGGAGAGAGCACTAGATCAGCTTGGGTGGCCATCCGTCGCCCTTATTTCCTCCCAAATTCTGAGTCAAAAATCAGCTCATCTCATCATTAGTTATATATCGGATGACCGGGTTGCGTACTCTTGAACCAATGCTCCAAACAGTGATGGCCTTTCGATCAGGTTTGCAGGACTGTCAAATTCCTTCGCTAGGCCTGGTAATAAGAAGAAAAAAAATTCTTCAGTTTTTCAGATTGCTAAGAGCGTCAGATAACATTAAAGCTAGGATATCATGAGCTAAAGTTTCGGTATTCGGAAATAGAAGACATTGCTTCCTGTTTCGAAGTTTCAGTGAAGCTTACCGGCATCGATGACCAGGACTCTGTCGCAGTCCATGACCGTCGGTATCCTGTGCGCGATGCTGATGATGGTGCAGGCTGAGAACTCTTCCCGGATGATCTTCTGAATCACGGCATCGGTTCGGGAATCCACTGAAGCAGTGGCCTCGTCCATGAACAGTATCCTGCTGTGCTTCAGCATCACTCGGCCAAGGCACAGCAACTGCCTCTGCCCAACACTCCAGTTCTCGCCGTTGTCGACAACTAGATGAAGGCAAGCCATACTCATATTAGTACGTAGCTGTAACCGATGTAACAAAAGAAGGATTTTTTTTTTCTGTGAAAAGATTGCCACGAGAGTGAGTTGTACTAGAACTTATGTAACAAGGTCACTACTTGTTCATGTAAGCTAAAGTCTATGGAATAATTGCTCAGCACCTGAGCTAAAAATGTATACAAATAACAGTGATTTGTAAATGAAGTACCTGATGCATCAAGCTTCTCGGGTTTTGAAGTCACTGCATCTTTCAGCTGACAACGTTCCAAGGCCTAAAAGGGAAAAAAAATGTTTAAATAACAGAATATGTGCTGGGACACAAATTTAAACCTGCTTGTCAAATACCTGCCAAATTTCATCATCAGAGTACAGCTGAAGCGGGTCGATGTTGCTTCGAATCGTCCCTTCGAAGAGGACAGGCTCCTGAGGGATAATGCCGAACCGAGACCTCAGATCATGGAGCCCTAGCGTGCAGATGTCGATGCCGTCGATGATTATCTTCCCCTCAGAAGGCTCAACTATTCTGAACAATGCCTGGATCAGCGTCGATTTCCCACTGCCAGTTCTCCCAACCACACCAATCTTCTCCCCTCCGTGTATGCTTAGCGTGATGCCCTTCAGCACTAGGGGAGTGTTGTGCCTGTACCGAAACTGCAAGGGCAGACAGAGTACTTCAGGTTTAGCTACTGCACATTTTTAATCTTCAGGACCATTAGAAAGAAGAAAACCAAATGTATATTCTCCAGTGCTGATGATTTTAAATCTTGATCAAATTGGTAAAGATCTTTTTTGACTGTGTTATACCGAACAAGTAAAACTTACGGAGTTAGGAGTTACCTTGAGATCAATGATATCGATGTCGCCTTTGTGTGGCCAGTTTGCAGAGGGAGCAGTCTCCTTGATCCTCCATTCTGCCTCAGATGGGATGTTCGTGAACTGCTTTATCCTCTCAACTGAGACCATTTTGTTTTCAATATTGCAACTCAACCAAATGGCCCAGAACATCACCGAGTTAAGTGACAGGCCATACGAGAGCGACAAACCGACATACTCTGCAGCAGCGATAACATGTTCAGCTCTTCAGCATAGAAAAATACAGCCGCTACATACTACCTCCGTTTTTTAATAGATGACGCCGTTGACTTTTTCTCACATGTTTGACCATTCGTCTTATTCAAAAATTTTATGCAAATGTATAAGATATAAATCACACTTAAAGTACTATGAGTGATAAAACAACTCATAACAAAATAAATTATAATTACTTAAATTTTTTGAATAAGACGAATGGTCAAACATGTGAGAAAAAAATCAACAGCGTCATCTATTAAAAAACGGAGGGAGTACATGATAAAAAAAATGGGTGATTTTACCATCCTTAAGAAAGTAAGGTATCATATTTTCTATTGTAAAATTTGATACCTCTAAATACTAAGTGCCTTGACGTACCAAAAATTTTAATATAAAACTTAGATATCTTAAGATATTTTCTCAAAAACCGTAAAATTCCAAAATAAAAAAAAATACTGTGATCCATTTTGCTGTACCTGGAAGGACGATGTTGGACGGCAACGTGACCATGAGCAAGGCGGTGACGCAGAGGACAAGGCTTCCGATGAGCTCCAGCCGCAGGCCGAGCCACTCGTTGGCTGCATTGTTGTGGAAGTCCATCTTGAGGCTGGCGTTGAGGCGGCTGAGGTTCTCGTGGAAGAAGTTGTCCTGCTTCTGGAAGCACCTGATCACCATGACGCCCTGCACCGTCTCCGAGAAGTGGTGGATCACGGGAGCCTTGGTGATCGACTCCAGCCTGGTCAGCTCCCTCGACGTCGAGATGTAGTATTTCTGCAAATCAAATCAGCAAAAAAAAATGTCAAATTTCTTTCTAGAACTATTTAGATCACGTGTAATAAACGGGTTACGCCTAAGCGTAGAAAAAAGAAATCCAGGTCTAGCAACTTTACCCGGAACCAGAGGTTGAGCATGAGCAAGGGTACGACGAGGACGACCGAAGGCCAGGCCACCTGACACGTCATGATCACCACGCCTATCACCGTGATGTACATGGAAACGCTCATCCACACGAAGAACGGCAACAACAGATCCACGTTCGTCTGGTCCGATGACGCCTGCACATCACAAAGATAGAAATGTTACCTCACTCATATATAAAATCGTAATATACACCTATCTAGAGTAATTCTACGGTCAGTATCGGGAGGTAGCAATATTTTTAATGTAAATTTTGATGCATGTATCAAATTTTACACTAAAAAATATGGTAAGATCACTCCTGTGATTAGTTGGGAATGTTGTGGGTTACCCTGGTGAGGATCCTGCCGGAGGGGGTGGTGTCGAAGAAGGACATGGGGGCGTGGAGGATGGTGCTGAGGACCTGCCTGAAGAAGATGTTGGCGGTGTCGAGGCCGATGGTGGCGACGAGGAGGGACCTCACCGTGACGATCACCACGGACACGGCGGCGATGATGGCGTACACCTTGATGAAGAGGGCGGGCCGGAACGCGTCGCCGGAGGTCTGGTAGGCGAGCCAGTAGTCGGCGGCCATGGTGGAGCCCTGCCACGCCACGGACACGGCGAGCACCAGCATCAGCCCCCACCACCCCCACGCCTCCGTCATGTACTGCCTGTACACCGTGAAGCTCACGTGCCCGCTCGCCCGCTCCTCCGCCTTGATCAGCCGCGACGACGCCTTCGCCGTCTTGATGTCGCCGTTCGACGACGCGCTCTCCCTCTCCTTGGGCGCGGACGACGGCTGGCGGGAGAGCGGCAGGTTGCCCGCGGGCGACGGCGAAGGACCGGGCGCGGCGCTCTCGACGAGCTCCATGGAGGACTCGTGGGCCGCGACGAGCGCGGCGAAGTCGGTGCCGGTGCGGAGGAGGTCGTGGTAGCGGCCGGACTGGGCGACGGCGCCGTCGCGCATGACGTAGATGGCGTGGGCGTTGCGGAGGAAGTCGAGCTGGTGGGTGACGAGGAGGACGGTCTTGTCCCTGAGGGCGCCGCGGACGCAGTCGCGGAAGATATCGGAGCCGGTGTGGGCGTCGACGGCGCTGAAGACGTCGTCGAGGAGGTAGACGTCGGCGTCCTGGTAGACGGCGCGGGCGAGCTGGATGCGCTGCTTCTGCCCGCCGCTCAGGTTGATGCCGCGCTCCCCGATCTCCGTCTGGTCCCCGAACTCCATCATCTCCAGGTCCTTGTCCAGGGAGCACACCCGGATCGCCTCCCTGTACCGCTCCCGCTGCATCCCCCGCCCGAACAGGATGTTCTCCTCGATCGTCCCGTTCTGGATCCACGCCGTCTGCGGCACGTACGCCATGCTCCCCCGCACTGTCACCTGCCACAATCCAACCAAATGCTAATTAATGCCAATCCATTGATGTACAAGTTTCAGGTTCAGAGATTATCAAGTCCAATGCCCATAATCGATCGACGAGTTTCAGTTCCAGAGATGATCAAACCCAATGCCAATTATATATTAATTGATGGACAAGTTTGAGGTTTAGAGCTGATCAAACTCAATGGCAATCCATTGATGGACAAGTTTCAGGTTCAGAGATGATCAAATCAAATGCCAATAATCGATGGACAAATTTCAGGTTTAGAGATGATCAAATCCAATGCCAATCCATTGATGGACAAGTTTCAGCTTCAGAGATTATCAAACCCAACGCCAATCGATGCATGGACAAGTTTTTGTTTCAGAGATAATCAAATCCAATACATTAATGCACATCATATTCAGTTGGCAGATCCGACGATTGAAGAATCAGCCCCAGCATTTTGTCGAACCAGACCCAATATCGTTCGGAATTCAGAAACGGGTATCTTTCATAGAAATTCAGGATCCAACCACCGACATAATAGCACAGGAATAACAAAGAACATAAAGTTTCAGTTAATTCATACTCCCTCCGTCCCAAAATAAGTGCAGCTATGGTTTTCCGCATTCAACTTTGACCGTTCGTCTTATTTGAAAACTTTTTGAAAAAATTAAAAATATAAGTCACGAGTAAAGTACTATTCATGTTTTATCATCTCATAACAACAAAAATGTTAATTCTAAAAAAATTTTAAATAAGACGGATGATCAAAGTTAGGCGCGGAAACTCATGGGTGCACTTATTTTGGGACAGATGTAGTACATGACTATCCACCCCTAATGTCAGTGAATGTACGACAAAACATTAAAACAGATCCAATACAATGGAAGGGCACCAATCTATGGAACATTAGAAGAAGTTTTTATTCCTCTGAAAAAACTGAGGGGGTGTTTGGGAGGGAGGGACTCCCTCTCTCAAAAAATAAGTCTATAGGGTAGAGACTTATTTTTTTTTTGGAGAGACACCCCCTGAGGAATGAATGTTCTTGCGGTGGTGTTTATGTAAGTGAAACGTGAAATTTTGTTCCCATTTTGTCGTAGTGAACATCAGTGAAGAATTCAGAATTCATTATCTATAGTTTCGTTAAAACATTCAAAAGCCAATTAATCTCAAAGATTCTTTTTTTAAAAAAAACCAGGACGGCAGGAACTTGTGCAGGTGTAGTACAGTTTGCTCAAAAAGTGGAGTAACACATTGCAGCATGATCTGGGACTTGGAGATGCTGGATGTGATGCATGCTGTGGCTCAGCGAGCATCACCAGTCCTAGCATCACAATTAATCACAAAGATGTAGCACAAGATTATGCTATGTTTTCCCTTTCTCCATTAAAAGCTAATTAATTTGCAAAAGATGAACTTTGTCTTTGCCACAGAAAACAAGGATCTAAATGCATCAGCTTTTGCATTTTGCTTCTCTCTGATTGTGGTGTTCTACCTACTGATAACCCGATTTTCTAGCTCAACATTTTGGTTTGTTCTGTGGGAAAGAGAAGTCCTTTTTCCTATTTCTACTGTCATAAATTATTTCCTACAGTATGTGAAAACAATGTGAAAATTCATGTTTTCTAAATAATGACCTACAATTGCTTTCATGATTAGCTGGAACGGAGAGGACAACTTTGTCCTCTGGAAATCATGGTCAGATGACTCAGATCTATATGAGTGCAGAAAGAATAAAGAAATCATATGGCTGCATAGCCCCACACGAACATCTAAGGCCATTTACAATGCAAGGACGTCGCGTTCGGGCTCATAAAAAAAGGCGAATATTCTTGGCCACCTAGGCAAACCGAGCAGCCTGCTCAAGCACGCGGAGCCAATTTTGGCTCCCCGTTCCTCCTCACTTTTGTAGGTGGGGCCCACAATCAAGCGCCGTGTCGCTAGGGAAAGGAGATGGAGGAGAGAGACCTTGTCGGACCGCGCCTCCGCCGGGGAGCCTTACTCCGCACGACGCCGAACCGCCGCCGCAGTGGAGAAGTGAGGAAGACGTCGATCTGCCGCCGAGCCGGAGGAAGAGAAGAGAATGGGAGAGGGAGGCGACGGAGAGGCAGAGGAGGTCGAGGCCGACGCCGATTCGAAGCCGGTGCCGTCGCCGCTCGACCGCTTGTGCTGCTCCGTCGGTGCCAGCGCCGCTCGACCGCCCCGCCGCCCGTTGATCGCCGCTCGGGCTGCCCCGCCGGTCGCCGGCACCGCTCGAGTGCCCCGCCGCCCGCGCAGCCACTCGACCGCCCCCGCTGCCGCTCGACCACCCCACCGCCCAGCGGCGTCACCGCTCGAGTGCGCTGCCGGTCGCAGCCGTCGCCGCTCGACCTCCCCGACGCGATGCCCGGTGTCTCCGCTACTAGTACTACTCGGGAGAGAGAAGAAAGGAAGTAAAGGAGAGAGATTGAGAGATAAAAAGTGAAAAGATGTACTGGTGGGACCCACTACCGGTACTTGCACTGTGGAGTATGTGGTTTACGAGGTTCTTCGTGTACGTGGCACACAAGGAACGGCGAAAATAGGTGACGCACTATGAATGCCGTAACAAATCTTCTAGTAGTACTATGGTTGCACCGAAATGCACGCAAATGCGTTAAGAAAATACGACAATACGGACTTGTTCGGATTATAGGATAGGAAAAGTATAGAAATAGGAAAGGAATCTAAGTGTAAAATAGAGGAATGAAAAATAAAGGAATACAAAAGTTGAGAACATTCAGATCACATGAAATTGATTGCCTAGGATTTGCATGCAGGAAGAAAAAAAAAGCTTGAGGTGGATGGACTTTTCCTATACTTTTCCTGTGAAATCAGCATCAAAGGAAACTTTCCTTTGGATTTCCTACAACCAGTTTTTATGATCCGAATGACAGGTAAGGGAAAAATTCCTATGCACATTATTCCTCCAAAAATCCTGTGAAGTTGCTCTAATCCGAATAAGCCCTACATTTGGATTGCAACAGGACATATACCATCACGCAAAAGTTTCAACTTAAAAGTTCAATGTGTTTGATTGGATGAGCTAGCTGCAGCCTTTTCAGCTGAAGAGTGTCAGCACAGCGGACCACTTGGCTGTGGGGGGTATAAGGGAAACAGAAACAGCCGTAGCTAAAAGTACTCCTCTCCTGCCTTGAAACAACCGAGCAACAACCAAAGCCGGCTGTCTTGAACCAAACCAATTGATGCTACTCCTACTACTGCAATTTTTTGGGATGCCGTTTTGGGCTCATGTCACTTGCAAGGTAGCAACAGTCCAGTCGCGAGACGACACGCTCAAATAGTAGTGGAGTGAACTTAAAAAAACGCTGACACGCGTATAAGAGCAAGTTCAATAGTATAGCCCACTACTAACTCCAATTCATTTATATCTAATCTAATAACTAATTCATACAATAGTTACTTACTATACTATTAGCATATCGTCCCACATGTCATACACACACTGCGTCTTGGAGTCCGTGCTGCAGCTAGCTATAGATCTGTAGCTCGCTGCTCTTCTCTAACATCTTTTATCTTATTAAAATATATTTATAGCTGGCTAATAGCCTACCATTGTACCTGCTCTAATAACATAGCAAAAATTTTATCGTATACAAAAGGGACTATTGGGGGATGCGCGAATAGTGGTCTACAACTCGGAGCATGAATAATCCTCCGTCTCAAGAAAATGATCAGTTTTACTATTCCTTTTGTAAAAAAGAAAATCTAAAATCTCAAGGGAGACATGAGTTTGTCAAAAAAGAAAAAAACGATTCTAGCGAAAGAAAAATCAAAAACTTCAACTCCATCACATCATTTGCAGGCCATAGTACTAGTTGCAGGCATCTGCTGTCTGCAAACAAGGGCAGACGAGATGACGCTTCAGAACGTGCGTTTTTTCAGCTGAACGCGTACGATACACCTACTGCTGCCGAAAGTTTATGGCCCCCTGAAACAAGCAAAATCAACAGCTTTCGCTGGCAGCTTTCGCTACGCTGTCTCACGGTCACGGGTACAACAATGGGAAGGCCAGCAAACAGACGATCAGATGACCGTATTATTTGGACAAACTATAAGGTTGGATGGGAAAAGTTAAATAGTGAAATATTATGATTAGTTAAGAAAAATATAGATTAAGAAGTTATTATATTTTATGACAAATTTATAATGCTATAATATGTTATCTCGAATGAAGGGAGTACATTATATTTTTTTTAAAAAATATTTATATATACATGTATGCATAATTGTCCTATCAAGCCACGTTGTAACTATACGGTTATTATTGATTGCATCAAAGCAATAATCATGAAAAGAATCCAGCACAAATATAGGTTTTCAGCGCATATTTTAGTTACTGCCTTCCCTAATTACTCTCTGTTAATAAAACATTAAAAATGTAACTTATATATAAGTATTTTGTAGGGAAATACACTAATATCATTTTCATATATATCACATAATTCATCAAAAGAGTTTTGAAGACTTCAGCATTTCAATTAATTATATGTTTTAAAACGTCACTTAACTGCTTGAGGGAAGGAGAAAAAACCCTCTCTCTCGTATTCCGCGTGCACGCTTTTCAAACTACTAAACGATGAATTTTTTAAAAAAGTTTCAATACGAAATTTGTTTAAAAAAATCATATTAATTTATTTTTGAAAAAAAAATTAGCAAATACTTAATTAATCAAGCACTAATGAATCGCTCCGTTTTCCGTGAACACTGTGTAGGTTGAGAACACTTGCATCCGAACATATGTATTCTTATACCCTAGGCTTTTGATTCGTGAACCTTCTTGATAGAGCTTAGACTTCCACAGTTCCACTGTCATCAAGCAATCATTCTACCGAACGCTCACAATCAACAGGGAAGAAAAAAAATCAAGCATACTCGTATGCTCACAATAGATCAGGACAAACGTGCGACACAGCCTACCGACCGATGATATTTAAAGGAGGAGATGTACGGTTGATGGAAGATCTGATATTGATGGCAGATCTCTGAACGAGTCTTTTGTTGTACATCATATTCATTGGAGTGATTATGACATATATGTCGTGTCTATATCGCCAATTCTAGTAGACGTGGACTATAGCAACAACTTAATTGCAATAATCCCCCCAAGGAACAAAATAATTGTACCTTCTTTCAAAATTATCGCTCTCGTTTGAGAGGTGTTCGGCATGCAAGAGAACTGGAACTTTCACGAGCTAACATAATAGGTGTTGAGATTTCCCCATGACCACATAGCTAGCTTGCAAGACCTAATTGTCACTATATATATGATCAACCAAGAAAGTATAAACTCGCACTATTTCCATTGGAACTGCTGATTGATAGTACTCTATAGTCAGAAAAAACAACTTACGTAGTAGTTACGAGTCTGAACGTAATCAGAAGAGTTGATTTCTCTTAGAATAGAGAAAGTACATATATAATCAGAAAAAACAACTTACGTAGGAGTAGTAGTTTGATCTTAGAGTAGGTATAATAGCAGGCTATAAGCCAGCTGCAGACATATTTTAAAGAGATAAGTGAGGAGAGAGAAGAGCAGCGGGCTACAGATTTGTAGCTAGCTATAGCACGGACTCCAAGACGCAGTGTGTGTATGACAGGTAGGACCATGTATTAATAGTGTAGTATGTAACTATTGTATGAATGAGCTATTAGATTGGCTATAGATGAATTGGAGTTAGTAGTTGGCTATACTATTAAACTTGCTCTTAAGAATTTAGTGTTTTTTTTTATCTTCACGGTACAAATGTTCCCCATACTTATAGCTAACGGCATGTAGGACTCCTCCAATATATTGTCATCACTGTAGCTGGTCTCCGGTCCATAGGCAGGGCACACACTGCTGTACCTGTACTACCTAGCTCTATGCCTCTATCCATTGGATCGGAGTTAATGCCGGAGCGTGCCCACGAACAAGCTATATCCATCGGTCGGTACTGTGTCCCGATCGTCGAATCATTGCACGTCGCTTTGCATGCATGCCATAACGCACGTATATATGCACCGCCGCAATTCACGGGTCGTTCAAAGCTGTTTCCCCCCACGCGTTAGGTGAGCACACAACGTGACGGTGACATGCATTCGACCGTACGTACGTATACTATACTACCCAGCTGCTAAATAGCTAATAATAGAATGGTACTATGATGGGAGTAGTTGGTTAAATTATACGTACCTCGCCGGAGATCTTGCGCATCTCGCCGAGGATGCAACCCAGCAGCGACGACTTGCCGGAGCCGACCATGCCGACGACGGCCGCCAGCGTGCCAGCGCGGACGTCGATGTCGATCCCGCGCAGCACCGCCTGCTGCCCTGCCGCCTCCTCCTCCTCCTCCCACGCGAACTCCCCACCTCTCACCCGCACGGCCGTCATCCCCGCCCCCACCGCCGGTCCCCGCTCCACCGCGCCCTCGTCCAGCTCCGCGCTCGTCATGTACCTGCAATCGATTGCAACACAATACAATGTTGAACAGTAGCTAGTCACTCAGTTTTAGGCTATAAGACATTTTGACTTGCTTTAAGTTTGATTAAGTTCATAGAAAAAAGTAGTAACATTTTCAACCCAAGACAAATTTATTATAAAAATATATTAATTATTTATTTGATGAAACTAATTTAGTATTATAAATATTAATATATTTGTCTATAAATTTAGTTAAAAATTTAAAACAGTTTGACTTTAACCAAAGTCAAAATATCTTATAACCTGACTACGTACTATTTAAAGAGAGATCTATGTATAGGGGAGTGGGCTTACGAGTCGAGACGGCCGAGAGAGACCATGGCCTGGGAGACCTGGATGATGGACTGGGGGAAGTTGCGCATGGGCTCCTGGAGGATCTTGAAGAAGGAGGTGGCGGTGAAGACGAGGCCGGCGTCGAGGCGGACACCGAGGAGGACGGAGGTGGCGAAGACGAGAGCGGCGATGGCGATGGGGGCGCTCCAGAGCGCGATGATGTTGCCCGAGATGGAGTACATGAAGCGGGTGAGCCACCCGAACTCGCCGCGCCGGAACGCCTCGATGCGGGCGCTGAAGTGCTCTTCCCACGCCTGGAACTTGATCACCCGCATGTAGTTGAGCATCTCGTTCGTCGCCTTCATCCGCTTGTCTCGCTCCGTCATCAGCCGGAACTGGTACCGGTTGTTCCGCCGCGCCCCCGCCAGCACGAACATCATCACCGCCACCACACCGCCCAGCGCCGCCGTCACCGGCGGGCCCAAGTACAAGTACAGCAATCCCAGCGCCACCCCAACCTGCAGTCCAAAATAATAATAATAATAATAATAATAATAATAATAATAATAATAATAAGGTTTACTAGTTCAATTTACATTTAGGTTTAGTTCCCATCAAACTTCTAAAAATTCCATCACATCAAATGTTTGAGCACATGCATGGAGTATTAAATATGGACAAAGAAAATCAATTGCACAGTTTGTATGTAAATTGCGAGACGAATCTTTTGAGCCTAATTACACCATGATTTGACAATGTGGTACTACAGTAAATATTTACTAATGATCGATTAATTAGGTTTAATAGATTCGTCTCGCAGTTTACATGTGGAATTTATAATTTATTTTGTTATTAGTCTACATTTAATACTTCAAATATTTATATCCGTATACTTCAAAAATTTTACACCTAAACGACTAAACAGGGCCTTACTGCTCTCGAGTATGAACGAACGATTTGCGGTACAAGACCAGTGCACTGTTACATCGCCGGAGTCATTGGGGGATGGTGGGCTACGTTTGACCAGTGCGACAGTAAATTAATTAATTTTGGTCGCGGATCACGTGCAAAAATATAGTATTAGTTCAATTATTAGTATTCGGGCGCGGATCCCAGTGCCGATGATCCAATAACTACAGTCTCTGTCACTGGTCAATAGCAAAAACCCACACTAAATTATTCTGCCTAGACAAGCTGGATTTGTCCACACATTATTCTCAAATGCTAGTTTTAAAACCAGAACAAAATGATGCGCGTACATTTTTTAAATTTATTCTAATCTATAATTGATTTTTAAAATTCTAAAAATTTGACCGAATCTTTCCTAAACCTTAAATATTTGTAAAAGAACTATTAAAACCATTCTAGTATAAATGCTCTCCTTAGAAATAAAAACTTAAATTTCAGAACACATGAAACTTAAATTTTGAAATTAAGATCCAATTGAGTAGTATTAAGGTTGAGTTTTTTTTTCAGATCATTTACCAGATTGCCCAAATGAATTATTTCCTCCATGCTTCAAAAAACACATATTCTAAAAAAAATATTTCATTGTATTGCTTAGACCATTTGTTTTAAGTTATTTATTAAGTTTATTTAACAAAATATTTAATTTATCCATATAATCAAGTAGATAATCCGCAAGTGTTCAACAATCTATGTCAAATTGAGCCAAAACATTTTTTTCCATGAAACGTCCTAGGTTTTTTATGCTGCAAAAGTGATTCTCTGTGCACAGTTGAAGTACAACATCAAAACATAGGTACTGTAGTGTATACTGTAAGTATATTGTTTTAAAATTCTTCACCAACAACAAAAGTGGGCTCGCGCTGCGTCGTGACAAACTTAACTTGCTACCTACGCCTTACGGTCTTTAATTAATTCGCAGCAATACGATCGAGCTACTATTGGCACCAACCACCAAATATATATGAAAACAAAACAAAAAACTACTTGGTACAAAGAAACAAAACCAGAGACACAAAATGGACTGCTTTAGGCCAAGGAGTAGCCACACCGGCAAAACTGTGCTCTCCCACCAATTAATGCCCAAACTAGAAAGTACTAGAACCAAATTAGGTTGTATACATAACGATTCAACTCAACTCAGAATATAGCAACTTAGAACCAGAACATATTATAAGCATACGTCTCATCCAATTCTGATTTATTATATCTGGGACGGAGGGAGTAGCAAAATAATGTACCATCTACCTGTTCATCATGCAGCCATTATTATTAACGCTATAACAATTAAAATACTAATCGTATATTGAATATATTTGGTATTTTTCATATTTTTTTTCAAATGATGATGATAAGTAATTAAAAATCATGTAGTTAAACTGAGTATTTAAATACTAAACCTATACTCCTACTTATTTAAGGCAAATTCTTTATCTGATCAATATCTCTCTTTATTTTTTGAATGTTTTTCTCAACATGCATGGACATGATTCACTCAACTACCTCCACGGACGATCTTTCTTGAAAAATGAAAAGCGGAGTCCAAAAACTATACGATTAACATACCACGCGTTTGCATGCAATACATATATAGGACATTGATCTCACAATTATTCTCTTTCGGTTAAACATATTATGTATTACATTTAATACATAGAGTTTTCAACTGTTATGTTTAATAAATCTAGATGAAATTTGTCCATTTTATTCAACTTTAATACGGTCTACAACCACGATTATATAATCAACATAATCAACAGCCAACTATTTTCTGGTTAACATGTGAAGCGCAGAGTGCAGTGCAGGTATAGATTTGTGTTTGTTTTTCAAAGAAATGACATAAGAAAAGAAAATCAAAGTATACTTGGGTTCGTGTGTTTTTCATAGAAAAAAATTATTGTATTTGTTGTTTTCTCCTAGGGTGGCACATCGTTGTAGTCCCCACCTCCTCCAGCGATAAAACAAAGGACGACGGAGTTAGTGGCCGGCAATGCTCACGTCCTTGAGTTTTGTCTCCTCCATGTGCAAGGATCTTCACATGGCAAATCTTAATTGATGGTTGAAACACGATTTGAGTCTGACGACATTGGTCTTATAGATCCGGATGTACTAACATGTACCGTTAATTAATTATTTACTCTCTCCGTCCAAAAAAAAAAAGATAAACCCTAACTTTCCGTGTCCCACGTTTGACCGTCATCTTATTTAAAAAAAAATATGAAAAAAATTAAAAAGACAAGTCACGCATAAAGTATTAATCATGTTTTATCATCTCACAACAATAAAAATAATAATTATAAAAAAATTTCATATAAGACGGACAGTCAAATGTTAGACATGGAAACTCAGTGTTTGTCTTTTTTTAGACGGAGGGAGTAGATGTGTACTGTAAACAAATCGGTGAATACGGTGACTGGTGACCTGGAGTACTTTCCTGACAAGTGGTGTGCCGAGTATATGTAGTATTAGGCCGTGTTTAGTTTCTCCCTTATACCCAACTTTCCATCATATCATACCAAATCAAAAACTTTCCTACACATAAACTTTTAACTTTTTTTTCTAAACTCTTAACTTTATTTAAACTTTCAACTTTTTCCAGAAACTAAACACACCCTTACTCTTGAACAGAAAAATTCCTACGAGTTCAGGAGTATTTTAGGACTCAATTTATGAAATGATCTTTCTTTGTTTTGTTGATCTCGTAAGGACAAATCATCGGGATTTCAAGTATGTAGGCAGGCGTACGTACGACCGTACAATAGAGATAGGACAACAGCTCTACGAATCAATACGTCCTTTTATGCTTGGAAAAGAAAAAAGAAAGAGAAATGCTACGAAAAACACAAAGCACCCAGTTTTTGAGAATGTGGTACGGGTATAATACTTTCTCCGTTTCACAATGTAAGTCATTTTAGCATTTTTCATATTTATATTAATGTTAATAAATCTAGATAAATATATATATCTAGATTAATTAATATCAATATAAATGTAGTAAACGTTAGAACGGAGAGAGAGTAGTTGATTGGACAACATACAACCGAATCACGTTGGAAGCTGATGGGCACGTTGCTCCCGAAAAACACTACTGCTAATACAGAACCGGTCCCTCCACATATTAACTACTACGTGTAACTGCCACTGGGACCAGAGACCCCACCCAAGGTTCTACTGGTCCACTCTGTCTCTGGCACGGGAAGTGGGAACACCATCGCTGCAGAAATTCAGGGCTACCATATGTACAGTACAATGTAATGATTGTTACCCATTTCTGGCTCCATCGTCAGGGATGAGATGTGAGTTTCCCAGCAATGCGCGCGTTCATACCAATGGATTTTGTCACGTAAAGATGGTTTAGTTTTCGATGTCTGTCAAGAAATGCATGGTACCTGTCGGTGTCTAAAACTTTTTAACATGAGACAACGAAATCCTAGACCATTCCTATGAATCATCGTGTCACAAGGGAATCGGCAAGTGCACCCAACTTCGTGGAGTACTAGTAATTTGACGCGAAACAGGGGATCGTGAACATTATTTTTGCAATGGACAGGACGAAATGCGTGTAAACAGAGGAGAAATTTTCACATGTGAAAATGTAAAAAAAAAATGGAAAAAAGGTGTGGCGTGTGCGTACCTGGAGCGGCATGAGCCAGAGGTAGTGAATCTGGAGCATCATGTCGGAGAGCTGCTGCGCGTCGACGGCCATGTAGTTGACGATCATGCCGAGGCCGTGCTTCTGGCGCGCGGAGCAGGAGAGGCGGAGGCCCTTGCGGTAGAGCGCCGTGATGAGCGCGCCGCGGATCTGCATCCCCAGCTTCTGGCAGTGGAAGTTGTACTGGTGGCTGCAGAACGCCTCCGCCGTCTTCGCCGCCAGCAGCGCCGCCACCAGCCGCACGCCGTCCCACAGCGGCCGTCGCGGCGACGCCGACGTGAAGTCCACGAAGCTCTGGATCAGCGTCGGCCCCACGTACATCACCGTCAGCCGGAGCACAGCCAGGGACGCGTTGAGGAGGAAGAGCGGCCAGAAGCAGCGGAGCAGCGCGTGGCGCACCGGGTTGTTGTCCTTGGTCGCCCACGCCGCCGGCCAGTTGGAGAGGAACAGCTCGTACATGCGCTCCGGCCGGTGCTCCGGCGCCAGCGTCGGCACGTCGGTCAGGTCCAGCGCCGCGCGGTACCCGCGCTTCAGCAGCGGGTGCATCCACGCCCACATCAGCCGCGACGGCCACGACGCCGTCGCGTACAGCGTCACGTTCTTGTAGTCCCTCACGTCCTCGCCGTTCCCGTTCCCCTCGGCGCCCTCTTCGTGGCTGCTCTCCGCCGCGGCGACGACGACGGTGATGCCGGTGGCGCCGGCGATCGCGAGGAGAGGCAGGGGAAGGGAGAGGACGAGCACGGCGATCGCGAGCGCGTCGTCGGGGAGGGCGGCTGCGCCGGAGGCGAGGCGAGCGATGGCGGAGCCGGCGAGGAGCACGGCGAGCGCGGACGCCGCGAGCCAGAAGAGGCGGAGCGTGAGCGGGTGGTGCACCGCGCGGAACCGCTTCTCGTGGGCGACCACCGCCGCCGCGGCGAGGTGCGCGGCGCACTGCAGCGCCAGGAACACCGGCTCCAGCACGCCGCCTCCTCCTCCCCGCGTCACGAGCGAGAGCACCAGCAGCACGGCGTAGAACACGGCGAGGGCGAGCGACGCCGAGAGCGCGACGACGTACCCCACCCCGACCCGCACCGCGGGGGCCGGCCCAGGGCGGTGGAGCAGCGGCCGCTTGCCATCGTCGCCGTCGATCCCATCAGCACCACCCCTTCGCCGCCGCGACGACGACGACGACGAGACGGCCCTGCGCAGAGCGAAGCAGAGGAGCAGGAGCAGGAAGAGGGAGGCGAGCGCGGAGAGGAGCACCCGCTGGGAGCAGTCGGAGAGGAAGAGGAAGGCGGCCCACTCCGCAAATCCCGAAGAGGAGGGGGACGCGGAGGGGAGCACGTCGCACGTGCGCGAGGTGAGCCACCACGGGGGAGCCGGCGCCGCCGACGAGGAGGATGCGAGATCCATGGGCGCTGGCCGCGCGCCGATCGATGGAGCGATCAGCGGCAGCGGCGGCGCATGCGGAGGGAGGGGGAGAGGGCGTGTCGTGTGGTTGTCTCGGTGTGCGGCTGGGTCGGGGTCGGGTTCCGTGCGGGAGTTTTGGTCCTCCTCGTCTTGGAAGGAGGGGAGAGGGGGTAGGTTTGAATTGTGAATTTGTTGCGTTGCGGCGAGCGGCTTTGTGGCGGAGGCTTGGCTGCTTATCTGTGGCGCTTCTCGTTTCCGCCGTGCAACCGCGGGCGGCGGACGGCCAACGTTGTGAGTTGTGTCAGTTGTGACCTCTCCTTTTTGGCTCCCACCCTCTCGGATATGTGCCAGCCACTGTCTTTTTTTTTATAGCTGAATAATTGGATGACTGTCATAAGTATTACTCCATCCGCCTCTTAAGTAATAATTACACTAACAATATCTATAGTAAATATTATACATGTTATATTATTAGAATTGTATTTATTTTTTATATGATAATAATATTATAGTTGTTTGATAACATAATATGAAATAAATTAATGATCAAAATATGTCATGGTAGACTGCATAAAAAATATACAATTTATAATTTATGACGGAGGGAGTACTATTAGTAGATGATACATCAAATAAAGTAAACATTATAAACTGAAAAATGAACTAAAATATAATTATAATAAATTAATATATAGAGAGAGTGTTTTCTTAAAAAATATTATCAAAAAGCGTGTGCATTCATCCATCATATCATTTCTTGAGTAAGAACAGTGCAGCTAGAGCTAGCGAATTTCACAAGAATCTTCCATGATTTTTCGGTACTATTTTTCAAATCCCTACACGAAAAAGAAGCGGTTCTTTTAGTTTAGCACCGTAATATGGATGTTATTCCTTCTAGAGGGATATATATAAATCTGACACGTGCATATACACGCCAGTAGTGCATTGCATGGACAGCACTAAATGAGCACGTGCAGGGTGTTTATGAGTAAAACGGCAATCTTATCGTCACTACTATGGTCAAATAAGATAGGGCTTGTATGCCAGGTGATGCGTATTCCCAGACCGATATGGTATCGTGCGCTCCTCAATCCCCTTAGTTGGAAATATCCCTCTCTCCAAAAAAAAAAAAACTCAATCAGATGTGATTCCTCCTTACAACGAATCTGGATAACCCTTTGTAATGATGAAGTGAATATTTAGAAGTTATAGTTGGTAGATGTTCCCATTTTGTCATTTTCGTTTTTTTTTTGCGTGAAGGATTGATCGATTGTTTAGCTGGCCATGATACATGTAAGGGCACCCGCAATGGTTATCTATAGGCTCTCTATAAGAGATCCATGTCAGCATATTTTCTTACTTGGAAGAGATTAAATGAAGAGAGAGAGCAAATGTATCTACTAATCTGAAGATAGTCTATAGAGAAAAACGAGGCTATAGATTAAAGAGCTATAGATACCCATGTAGACATACCATTGAAGTGGTTTACTATTAATCTAGTCTATTGCTGAGATATACATGTTTTATAGATAGCACATTACTTTACCATTGCGGGTGCTCTAAGAGGCGAATAGTTAGATAATTAAGCACTCTTGATCATCATCTCCGGTAGCGTATTTAAGTATGTATATTTATGACGATCGGTATTAAATCTTTTTGGATGGAGTTAATATGATCCAAGACTCCATACCATCCATCTCTGATGATTTGTGTTTATTTCGGTCTCTATTAATTAGGTATAAGCAAACTGTCTATATTTATGATTATTTTGCAACTTTGGTGGAATACATAGCTTTACTTCACATTTATATATCCACCTAACATGTATGAGGAACAAGACAATGGTATACACAAACTCATTCCATTATTTCTCAAACCAAACAACGTACTTATTACGTAAGATTGAAGAGATGTTTTACGGTGTTTGCGAGGTATCTAGAGGTACTTGGAGGTGGAACAACGTGCACCATTGATCAATAGAGGGGCAAGGTACGGAACAAATTTATTATAACATAATGGCAGTGGAGTAATTAACTTGTAAAACATGGGCATTATACTTTAATTGAATACTAACATCCATCGATCGGTATGCCATCAGAAAAAAGAATAAATCTAACATCCATCGATCGGTATGTCATCAGAAAAAAAGAGTAAATCACGGATATCCGATCGATCTATACTAGATCGCATCGTCTTCTTTCCCGGATCGCATCGTCTTCTTTCCCTGCTTTGTACTTCTTGTTCTAGGGTTTGAACGTTTCACCGGAAGGAGACAGGGTTCACCGGAAGGAGACAGAGGGAAAAGTGTAGGCATAGTTGAGGGTTGAATAGGAGACTGAATCGCCTGGTCGACGACTAGCTAGGCTCAAACTAGCGCAATATAACAATATAACACAATATAAATCTCTTGTTGGAAATAAAATATAATTTTCAATACAATTAAGGTAGGAGTTTTTACATATTCATTGGAATAAAATGTAAATGTAGAAAAAAATCGCATAATTAGGCCAATAATGTGTTATAAGAACATAATGTAAATCTAGACTCCAATACAACGTAAATCTACACGAAACCACGCAAAACAGAATATTAAACCCTAGTGCTGCGGTAAACGACTTAACTGCAATACAACGTAAATCTACAAGAAACCATGCAAAACAGGAAATTAAACCGTGCAGAGAGAGGTTTTACAGTGTTAACGCGTACCATTATATTTATGCGGTACCTTTTATAATTTGGGAGACGATTCTACCGTTTACTCTCTATTAGCAAAATTATATTTTTACCCTTAGTACCTAAGCACCTATATCAATACTTAAACCTTTAACATGGTACCTATGATTGAGGAGCGTTGGATCTTTACCTTTTTTGGAATGCAAACACCGTAAAACCTCTCAAGATTGAATGATCAATTGATCATTTTATTCCTCAAATCAAATGGCTCATTTGTGATTTGCAAGCACAGATGCCGTTATTTCTCTATTATAGGTTCTTTTGTTAGATTTCATTTTGATATATTTCGATGGCACAAGATTATTTCTTTTATATATTTATCTTAGGCAGGAACGTACCCACCTGCAAACATCCACCTACGATGTTTATAACTTTGACCAACAATTTAAGATAATGTTACAACAATTAATATTATTCGAATAGAACCTCGATACAAATGGTCAGGCTATTCTGGGTCTTGTGAAGTCGTGGGGTGAAAATGTCCCCAGGCTCATTTTAAGCTGTTCCTTTCTTTTGTTTTTTTAATACTCCTTGTAGCTGACATTACCTCGTTTCTAGTAAGAGAAATGGGGGCCTTGTGCCCTAGTTAAAAAAAGAACCTCGATATATAGGGAATATGTTTTATATTATTTTTATCACATTGCATTTTCTCCTAAATCTGTTGAATAGAAGACAAACATAAAGTACTTATTTAAAAAAAATGTCCAAAGATTGTAGCTAGTATAATGATTATATTCGAGAATGGAATAAATTAATGGAGAACAGCATAGTTTTAATCCTAATACAGTATCGATGCAATCGGTTGACAGTGGATCATCAACGGCGAGACAGCGAGAGTACGACGACATATAATACGATTCCTGATATGAGTAACATCTCTCCATGCCAGTCGCTCGAACAGATCGAGTTAATGCCTATTTTGTCACCGGACAGCATCCGTTAGTTACATGTATATATACAGCTAGCAAACTCAGTGTCAGCTGTAGCTGCGTGTATTTATTCCATCTAACCTTTCCTATTTTACCTGTAGCCCCACATACTCATAATTTAGCTAGTACTATTCTTATTTCAGCCTTTCAATGCTAAATATTAAAAATATATTGACACGGAAGTGTATTTTAGGAAAAATGAACTATTAATGCCATTCTTCACTTGACAATCTTCATATTTCACACTACTTATTGGTCAATTTTTTATTAGGGTGACGTCTAATTTTGGGCATTGAATTTGGCTCGAAGTCCATTTCAGCCTACACTATAAACCGATTGTTTTTCACCTCAACTTTTTAATTCTGGACAAATAATACCCTAGACCATATATTTTTCTCTGTGGTTTTGTTTGAAATGGAGTTGGAAATATAAATTGATTTGATATATTGCATACAAAATACACTTTTTTTATATATGTAACAGAAATTAATAATAGTCAAATATCAAATTCGGGTTTACTTTTCATACCTAGCTTTGTGCCAAAATTATGTTAGAATATGTTGAAAACTCCACAACAGTCTTTTTGTTTACCAGTCTAGCGAAAAGATTTGATGTTTAGAAAATTATAGCATATGGTTCCAAATGTATATCATCTTAGACTTGTGTGTAAGAAAAGAAAATAACTCGGTAAGTTTGTTGCCTTTTGTACAACACTAAAAATATGGATAATTTTATTCGTGACAAGGTAACATTTATTTATTAGCAAGAAGAAATTGGGAACAATACTTGAAAAGAAGGTGCCATAAAAGGTTTAGGTAAAATTGCATAAATCACCCCACCTATATTGCAAAACTCATGTCACCCTTGTTTCGAGATTCCATCCATAACCCATTTTATTGCAAAAACTCAAACTACTAGACCAAAAATACCCATTCCACCGAGCACATGAGTAGCTGATTCGGTCCATTTCTTCCAACATGGATCCACCGCAGGTCATATCGCTATATCAGTCAAGAGGGGCTCATCTAGAGTAGTGTAGTGAGTTTGACTCAAGTTTTTTTCTCAGCAAAAGAATGGTGTTGCTTATAGATCACAGCAAACAAGCCTTTAACCTGACGTCGTGTCAAGAAATAGCCTAAGAACGGGTTTGAGTCGAACTCACCTCATAGCTACACTAGTTGAGCCCGACCTAGCTGATATATATGGCCCGCTGTAAACCCACATAGGATAAAACAGAATGAATTAGTTACTCATGAACACCATGTGGTCAATTTCAGCTTAGCACTATTGAGGGTAGGCTTTTACAACAAAATGTGTTATGAGGAGAAATCTCAAAACAACAATATCAATTATAATGGTCCGTGCAACTTCAACAATGTTTTAAAACGGTTAATATTTAGAGAACAGTTGATAAGGCTAAAATGACTGAATATTGAAATCAAAATGAGTAAAATGTGTGTTTTTTCTTAATTTTGGGGGTGGGGGTAGGGTTGATATGATGGTTAAATCGGCCCTCAGCCCAATACAACCCTAGAATATT